CTGCCTGCCTTGTTGCCCAGGTTCACCAAGACAACCAGGTGGTCCTGAGTTTCCTGTTGCTCCTTTGTTTCCTTCTCTCCTTTAAAACCAGGACCTGGAGGACCTGGAGGACCTCGGCAGCCATTTGAACCTACAGACAGAAATTTGATTATTGCAGTAGCAAGTAGCAGTGTTCTTGTCACAACATACCCTTTTAAAGAAGAAGAAGATTTACTTTATTTATCCCAGCAAGGGGAAATTCTGCTTTTGCACTCTGTTAATGAATCATGCAACACACACATTGAAATAAAACGGCTGAAATACACACATGCACAAACAGGATCCTATGGACATGCATTAATGGAGATATGTCAGAGTGGGGGAGCTGCCTTGCTCAAGGGCACCTCAGCAGTGCTCAGGAAGTGATCTGGCACCTCTCCAGCTACCAGACCAACTTCCACCTTTTGGTCTTGCACCAGTACTTGAACCCAACCCAAGTCCATACAGACAGCTACTGCCAACCCTAAATGAATAAATACAACACAAAACAATAAATACAAGGATCAGAACTTATTTTACTGTCTCTGTATGCAGATGATATTGAGTTATTGTTATCAGACTTATTTTGGTTAGAAGAGACCAGAACTACAACGCAACAAGCACAACTAACACTTAACGGGGAATACCATTAGGTCAGTTAACATGGGGGCTTCTTGAGTTCCAATCGAGGATAAGTTTCTTCCCCAGATGGACCTTGTAGGGAGCCTATTAACTGTCCTTCATCCCCCCAGTTTGGCTAACCCATGTCAGGTCTCCATATAGAAATGGACTACAAAATTGTCAGGGCCCCAGTTTGGTAGCATTTGGAACCACATTTTAGCTGTGCTGACTGGGAGCATTTTCCCCTTAGCCTTGACCAAGTGAACTAGACTGCAGATGTGAAAGAGACCTCAAGGTCTACAAGCTTAATGTTGAGAACAGATTTCAGCCAAAGTCTTAGATACAGCCTGCACATGCGATTGCGACTCCTCAAGTCTTTCAGATACCCAGGCGACCCAGCAGAAGCCAACCAAATCCTCAGGGAGGTCTCCGCCGCCTTCTCTGACACTGCTTTAAAGATCAATCCAAAAGGAAAAACGAGGGTTTTCAGGTAGAAGAGGTGAAACGTCTGCAAGACTTTTAACCAAGTGCAGTTGCCTTTTGAATAAAGCCTTGAACTGTAATGGCCTTGATGACTGAGAACGTCAGACATCTCTGACAATACCCTACCAGCTCCCAATGGATTCCTGTTTGTCTTGCCAGCCTGCTCGATGATCCTCTAAACTGAAACTTGGGCGAATCCTTTTAGGTTTCTGACAGTGAGAGCTCATCAGCTGCTTCACTTACTGTTTTTTTTTTTAAAGTCATATGATTCCTTGGTGGTTGGAGGTGCCAACAGGGAACCAAAGTCCCGGACACATTAAAAAGTTGACCTGCCAGTGGCACAGTGTAAAACGTCAGAGGATCACTAAAGTCACTAAGATTTATACCAAAGTGGAACATTTATTTCTGTACTGTGTTTAAAAACAACCCAGATTAAAAATGTTAGCCCTTGCAGGACACCTCTTAGATCAGGGATAGAGTAAAGCACATGAGATCAGGATTTTCTTTACCCTGTAAACTCAATGGTCTCGTTACCTTTGGGTCCTTGTTCTCCTGGGAATCCACTTTCTCCTTTGGCTCCTTCAATGCAAATTCCCTCCGTGCCAGGACAACCAGGTGGACCAGGGGGTCCAGGAGGACCAGTACAACCTGGATGTCCACCAAGACCAGAGGGACCAGGAGGCCCACAGGGGCCAGGTGGACCCTGTTCCCCAGCACACCCTGGGAGACCAGAAGAAATGTGTTTCATTTATCATTCTTTAGGTATGAAATTTTAACAACTGAGGACTCACCAGGTGGACCTTTCCTTCCCTCCCGGCCCTGGGGCCCGTTCCCAGGAGCTGTTGAAAATAATCAGGAGAGGAACAGCCCAGAACCAGGCTTGGTTATGAACAAAAAAAACAGTTCACAGCAAAACTGTTCAGACATGCCACTGTCAAACCAGATCCAGTATAATCCAGTCAGGTCTCTTACCTCCCATGGCTCCTTTTTCTCCAGGAGGTCCAGGTATCCCGTCCTGTCCCTGGTTTCCTCTGAGACCAGCTGGACCAGGATCTCCAGGAGGCCCTTGTTTCCTGAAAATGAAGATGATAACCAACAGTAAGGACAGTTAGCGGACAGTGTATAAATCTTGTTGTAAGCAGACGGACATCACTGAACACCAGATAAAAACTCAGGGCTGTTGTTGAAGAATCGGATACAACTGAGTTTATGTACCTGTGAGGCCTGTGGGTCCCGGAGGGCCATTTTTTCCAGAAGGTCCATCACAGCTCTTTTCACCAGAAGGCCCTGGAGGACCTGAGACAGACAAACAGACAGACAGACAGACAGACAGACAGACAGACAGACAGGTTAAGAGAGCTGTCATGTACAGTAGTGTGTGGATGCTCAGAATATCTCTGGTGACTCTTCACCCTCAAAACTCTAAAGCCCCATTCGGCATCGCAGAGCTGCTGTGAGTTTTAGCTCAGCGTTGAACACAAACATATTGTTACGGCCCTTTTTGGATCTTTTTCAGAGACAAAGTTGTAAAAGCAACTGTCAACTATCCTCTGTGCAGGAAAAATGCAAACTGACACAGTAAGCGGTGCGTTATTTGAGGAGTAGACTGATATGTTCAGTCTGTGTATATCGTGTAAACATTAACAGCACCTCTAGCTTTAGTTCAAACTTTTGATTGTCCAATGTTTTTTTATCACAGTATAGACCGCTGGCTCTAAAATAGCAGACAAATGAAGAGAAACTTTGAATCAGACCTCTGCATCCTGGGGGTCCTTTCTCTCCTTTAGGACCGCAGGGACCACATTCTCCCGGGGTACCAGGGACTCCCAAGTCCCCTGGGGTCCCCTTTGTACCTTGAGGACCAGGACACCCTGCATTCCCCTGAGAATGAAAATGCAAGCAAATTAAGCTAGCTTTAGAGATCAAAATGTAAATCCTTTTTTGAATAGTTTTCTTCAACCGTTTTAAGCCTACTGCTTATTGAAAGAAAGTCTAAAGTAATAGGAAAGATGATGAATAATGGCAACATCAACCAGAACATCATCTGCATACAGTGATAACAGTATATGTGTTAAAGCACTGTAACATCAATTTAATAAGAGTTATCCTTAGATATTGGCACCCTTCCCTATCACATGCTCTATCTTGGATTGTTTATAACAGGTGGGTATGTAGTGATACCACCAGCACAACATTAAACAGATGCACCTGATACCTTGAACATTATATATCTGTTTTACAGTTTATGATTTATTTTTAAGTAATCTCCCTCCTTAACCTGTTTAGGCATTCTTCAGTGCCGTAACCTGTATAATACTGCTTTATTAACCTGGTCAGTGAGCATTAAACTAGTGTTGACAAGGGGCTATGGTGAGTAATATTTGTGTCTCTAAGTACATGTGATACCTTCTCTCCTAGAAATCCTTTGGATCCTGGTCCAGGTGGGCTTGGTTCTCCTTTAGGGCCTTTTGATCCTCCTGGTCCTGGTATTCCATTTAAACCAGCTGATCCACACAGTCCTGTAGAGCCTTTCTCACCTTTGTAGCCTGGACAGAAACACCTATAGAATCATCTATTTGATAACTTTAGAAATTAAGACAAATGCATCTAAATAAATTCCCTATGAAATCGTTCGTTTTTGTGCTGAGACTGTACAAACATACTCTATACTGTAAGCAGAGGTCGTATAATGTAACTTCATTAATCGTTCATCCATTAACAAAGTTAATCAGTTAATACTGTTAATGAACTGATGTTAACATTAACTGGTATTAACAACCAAAACATTTGGTAATGTCAATAGATTCGACTTCTAAAGAGACCACGATGGCTCAGAAAACGCCAAATTACAAATCAGGTGAAGCAGCATTTCACAATAAAAGCACCTGGGGCAGAGACAGGCAATTTAGTTTGTTATGTAATAAGCTCTAAAGTACAGGAGGGGCTGTGCTCTTGCTCAAGAAGTCTGCAACCCAGCTTACACTGTAAGCTGTAACAAACGGACACGTCCAAAGCTCTGTCTATAAGCCTTTTTCAAATGTCTGAAGTGACCCAGTGACATTACCTGGAATCCCATAACGCCTTGGTTACCGTTGAGTTCTAAAGGACCAGAAGGTCCGTTCTGTCCTTTACTCCCGGGTTCTCCTGTAGGTCCTGTCAGACACAAGCAAACATCGATCATATACTGATTAAATGAAATGATGTTGCCAAAAAAGACTTGTTAGTTGAAAAACATCTCAGCACTCATGTCAGATGTCCCTTTCAGGTTCTCAGTCTGACACTTGAAGATTAGATTCTACATCCAAAACAACCAGATTCAGGTCAGTTCTGCTCACCCTGTGGCCCGGGGTTTCCAGATCTACCGTCGCTGCTATCTGGGCCCTGGGGACCTATGGGGCCCCTCTCTCCCTTCAAACCAGTGAAACCTTGGGGCCCTGAGGGTGAGACAATAGAAGTATAAATGACATCAGAGCAGAACATAGAACCGTGAGGAACATTTTGGAAAACCTCAGCTGAGGGTCAGTACTAGTACCAGGATCTCCTGGGTCTCCAGGGTCTCCGTACACTGCCACAGATGTTTGGATTCCTTTTAGTCCTGGTGCTCCTGGGTCTCCTTGAATCCCAACAGGCCCCTGAGAACCATTAACCCCATCAACACCATCATCACCTGATAGACAAACAGGCCACAGACTGTTAGAGAACTGATTGGCTGGGTCCCTTAATGATTGATTGATTGATTGATTGATTGATTGATTGATTGATTGATTGATGAAACCTTTCTGTCCAAGTTGACCGGTCTCTCCGGGTTTTCCATCCTCCCCTGGACTCCCAGGCGCTGCTGGAGGACCCATGTCCCCTCTGATACCTACAACACACACATATGGATCTTACTTAACTTGTGAGCAAAATACATTGACTTATTCACATGTTGGGTTGATTATAACTCTACTCTGTGATGGACAAACCGGTTCACATTCTTGAAGATGTTAGCATGCTAACACTGACTAACTGGCTGTAAACACTGAGTACAACTGATGCTGAGGGGAATTCCATTTGGTGTGTGGGTATTTGGCCATAAAGCAAAGTAATGGACACTGCTGCGACCAGGCCTTGTGTTCTAAAACAAAGAAGACATAGGCCTGGGCTCTTGGGCCTGCTGTATAGTTAGAAGCCTGATTTGAGTATGACTTTCAGGGGGAGGGAAAGCACAAAGAACTGGTAAGACTGCAAAGCCTTAGTGTCCCAACATGCCAGCATTTGGAAAGATTAAAATGAAGAAACGTTTTAGAAATATGGACACATAAAGCAGGAAGAGCAGGTGTGGCCACGCCTCCTTACCTGGACTTCCTGGCTCCCCATTGGCCCCACTCAAGCCCTTCAGTCCAACTTCTCCTACTAGCCCTTTATCTCCATTAAACCCTGGGGCCCCATATGGCCCTTGAGACCCAATGGCTCCAATGCCTGGCAGCCCAGGGTCGCCCTTCAAACCCTTTGGGCCATGGTTCCCTGAAGACAGAATGCAGTGAGACTCAGAGAAGCCAGGGGTCTGACTTGTACATTTTACACTCTACTGGTGACTCCCAGAGCATGTTGGGAACTCTACTGTCAGCAGCTCTAAGGTTGGTACCTGTGAATCCAATGACACCCATTGATCCGCGCTCTCCTTCAGGACCAGTAGCTCCAGGTAAACACACTCCAACAGGACCGACAGGACCGGTAATACCATCCAGACCTCTATGACCTGAAAGACACATATATTTAGTTTCTGTGTTTACATTCTCTGTTCTTGATCATTTGGCAGACAGGACTTTACCCCCCCCCCCCTCCCACAAGAAACATTACAGCAGGTTCGTAAATGGGTTACCTTTTGGTCCTGGAGGTCCATCTTGTCCTGGAGCTCCTGGAGCCCCATCTGACCCTTGAAGTCCAGAGTCTCCTTGTGGCCCCACTGAGCCATCTTCTCCTTGGGGGCCTGAGCGACCCTGCTGACCTGGAAAACCAATCCCCCTGTCCCCCTGTGAGCAGAAACCACCATGAAGATTGTAAACCACCAAAACTTAAGAAGACCATTTCATCTAAACTGGACTACTGTCCTTGACTTTGAAGCATTGATGCTGTTTGACATCCGTGCCAAAGCCTGAAGCAGAACTGCAGAGCGTGCTAGAAATGCCTCGGCCATTGAGGCACATACATTGAAGAGTTAATCGACCCTAACCACATTATCGAGGTGTGTTACTCCAACTTCAAGAAATTCAAATTAGTACGAATTCAGTCATACTGACATGTATTATAAGTATTTTAAAAGTCCAATGTAAGTCGCACTAACACAATGAATCCACCTTTTCTAACATCAAATAAACATACTGAGAGTTCATGGCAACATCAAACTGACCTGCCTGTATCAACAGACCAAACCAGCTACAGAACAGGAACCAGACTGACAGCTTGGGGGATCCGATTCATAGAGACAGGAACTTGTTAGTCTGTGTCTTAATAAATGTTAATGTACAATCACCTTAGTTTGGGAAAGAAAAAAATGTCTTTGAGTTCTGGTCCATATTTCTGGACTCAAACTTTCTTTATTTGAAGGACTATCTTGCTCTATAAGTCTACATTACCTTGGAGCCCGGCATCCCTGGCGGGCCTGATGGCCCTGCTCGTCCCTTGATACCAAAACTTGGTAAACCTGGGCCTCCTGGAACACCTTTGTTTCCTGATCCAGACAAAAAAAATATTGCTATTTATGATGATTCTTTTCATTGTAACCCTCTAAACACTGTTCAGAGACCTGACCTTTGACCCCTGGGAAGCCTGGAGGCCCCTGGACTGAAAATCCTTTATCTCCCTTTTCTCCCTTTGGACCGGCAAATCCTGGAACACCTGGAGGTCCTGTCACACCTGAGACCAGCAGAGACAACAGGTGAGTCAGCAGGTAAACATGCAGGTGTCCTGTTGAACATTTTGTTGGAGCCGGATTTGGTGGATTTGTTTCCCATTAATGTTGAAGACTCTTGTGCTGCTGTTTTTAACTGTAAATGTTTTTTTAGGAGTTTTGTACAGGTGTGAAAGCCCAATAAGTGAATTCTTAACCTTCTATTTAATTTAATTTGAGTAACATTTCTGTTTTAAACAGTAAAAGTAAAAAATAAAAAGTCACATAAAGCTGTCTCACCTTCAGGGCCGGGGTTTCCTGGTAGACCTTTCTCTCCTTCTGGTCCTGGATTTCCCGGATAGGTCTGGATTTCACCTGGAGAACCTTTGTCTCCTGAAGAGACAGACAGACAGACAGAGAGACAGACAGACAGACAGACAGAGAGACAGACAGACAGACAGACAGACAGACAGACAGACAGACAGACAGACAGAGAGACAGACAGACAGACAGACAGACAGACAAACAGACAGACAGACAGACAGACAGACAGAGAGACAGAGAGACAGACAGACAGACAGACAGACAGACAGACAGACAGACAGACAGAGAGACAGACAGAGAGACAGACAGACAGACAGAGAGACAGACAGACAGACAGACAGACAGACAGACAGAGAGACAGACAGACAGACAGACAGACAGACAGAGAGACAGACAGACAGACAGACAGACAGACAGACAAACAGACAGACAGACAGACAGACAGACAGACAGACAGAGAGACAGACAGACAGACAGACAGACAGACAGAGAGACAGACAGACAGACAGACAGACAGACAGACAGACAGACAGACAGAGAGACAGACAGACAGACAGACAGACAGACAGACAGACAGACAAACAGACAGACAGACAGACAGACAGACAGACAGACAGACAGACAAACAGACAGACAGACAGAGAGACAGAGAGACAGACAGACAGACAGAGAGACAGAGAGACAGAGAGACAGAGAGACAGACAGACAGACAGACAGACAGACACATACACAGACACACACACACACAGACAGACAGACAGACAGATTAATCTAGAGACATGTGTACTGCTCCTTTTTAATTTTCTTTGACCTTTAACAATTGGTCTCTAGCCAGTGAGGAGTGACTTCCTGCTCTGGGACACTTGATAGACTTGAATCTTACCAACCTGCAGTCCTGACTATCTTACCTGGTTTTCCAGGATCTCCTCGGGGTCCCAGGACTCCAACATTGCCTTTAGGTCCTGGAGGTCCTGGAGCCCCTATCCCAGGTGGTCCTGGAGGTCCCATCTGTCCTAACAGTCCTCTGGAACCAGTTTCGCCTAATGGGCCCCTCTCACCTTTTTCCCCCAGAGGTCCCTGAAGGCAGCACCAGAGAGAAACAACAGAACATCATCTACGTATGCTTAAACTCGTTATGGATCTTTTCTGTCGCTTTAGATCACAGATTGTGTATATCTAGTGGACTGAGTCTGTAATGTCCAGCAGGGGGAGAATCCACTCAAGTCTGATTCTATAGAAGTCTATGATAAAGGGGAAAACTTGTCAGTTGATTTATTCCCTGAGTAAACACTTAATGAGTGCATGGACTCAATCTCTAGTTTCAAGTCTTAATTACATCATGAACGTTCATTCAAATATGGATGGTGCTAGTATTAGCTATCAACACAGCCTTTGCTCTCCTCTCAAGCGACGCCCTCTTCATATGATCACTTCTGTCTCAAAAACAAGATGGCAGCAGCAATAGGATTATATAAATCCACAACACAAAAAAAGCCCCTCTTGACTGGTGACAGACGGCCCCTTTGGATGTTGTATCTGATACTCACAGGTTTCCCTCTCTCCCAGAACACCTTTTGGTCCTGTTGCTCTGGAACTCCATCAGCCCCCTCAAAACCTGGTGGTCCTGGTTGCCCAGGATCCCCATCCTCACCCTTCTGCCCAACCCTCCACATGACTGCAGGGTCACCGATAGGTCCTGTAGAGCCCTGGACGCCAGGGCTACCGAAGGTGCCCTGAGGAAAAAACAATCATTTGTTAACAATATTTAAGAGAAGATCAAACTGAAGCATAATCTGAATTTTTGAGTTGTACTTCTACTCATCCTCAATCCCGCAGTATTAATAATCTCTCAATGAGACAACATTGAAACAGAATAATGCTGTGCTATAGATACTGGATATAGTAGACAGTAAGGAGTGCAGAGAGGCAGAAGTCATTCAGCCTCATCGAAGCTTTAGAACCAAACACAACATCTGCATCAGAGAAACATTCATGAAGTGAGCTGACCTGTGAACCAGGTGGTCCTCCAATACCTCTGAACCCTTTGTTACCTTTGGGTCCAAGGAAACCAGCTGAGCCTGGACACAGAATGACATCACAGAGGCAGACAAGTGAGTTTTTGTTAAACTGGACCTGACTGTAGATCAGATATCTTAGAATTAAGATGGCATGTTGACTGAGACATGTCCCAATGTCTTATATCGAAAAGCTCTAGAGTTATGATTTTTATTATTCTTTTATGATTTTTGAGATTTACAGCAGCGGATAAGTCTCATTCATAATCTGTGAATGAAAGAAAGAAGAAGTTAAGGATAGTTTAAGGAACTTTGGCTTCAAGAGGAAAACAGAATGGTTGGCAGGTGCAAAGAATGATTATGAGTTGACTTGGAAGATATGTAAAAAAGCTTTTAAACTCAAGACAGTAGGAATCAGCCACTGAGTTCCACATGAAATCTGTGAAGTGGTGCAAAATGTTAATCATTTATCTTTGTTTGGATCCTAAAGAATATTAAATTGTGAGCAGCAAACAGGGTGCAGTAACCCTGTTACAAATCATCTTACTTTACTCAATTTTTTCAAATCCCTGATTATCGTTAGACTGTCTCCTTTACTTTGAAACAACTTGAAGAAAATACATGACTATGACTTTATAACAGAACTTCATGATTGAGAGTAAGTCTGTCATCTAGCTGTCACGCTGTCGATCCAGGAATCAATGCCTCAGACAAACAGAAAATAAATCTGATCAGGTGCCATTCTTACCTGGCAGTCCGTCTTCCCCTGGCTCTCCTGGTCTACCTGGAGGTGCAGGAGGGCCTGGTAAAGGAGAGCAGATATAGCACAGGTCCCCCTTCTCACCTGAAAAACACGAATGAATCAATTATTATATAGAACACCACAATGTGTCGTAATGTATCGTATCGTTTTGTTTTGTTTCGTTATCTACATATATTTATACAATATGAGGACGCTTTGGCTCCTCACAGGCATGTTTATTCCAAGAGCAACTTCTGGACACAAAGCAATGCAAATGAGCCTGACAGAGGCATTGTGTTCTTTCTTAATAATCTCATTCCAAACTTTAATTGGAAATCTGCAGTTTTCAACCCTCAGGGAGGTTACGATCTTGGTCAGAGTGTAGATTCATGACATCGCTGTGCTTCTGTATCATTAAATTCTTGTCATTTAACATCTTAATAATCCATTTCTCTTGCACACTCACCCGTCTGCCCTTCATCCCCTCTGATTCCAGGGAATCCCGTCAGGCCTTTCAGACCTTTAGCCCCGGGAGGACAACATCCCGGCAGGAAATCTGATCGAAGACGAGAGTGAAATCAGACAGAGTTGGATGTGTTGTTAGATAGTTGGCAGCCTCTGCTCCACCCATTGCAGTCTTTATACTATGCTATGCTTATCAAATGATAATTTAGAGCTGTAGTCACTGTGAGCATACTTAGCTCAGATATTTGTGACAAAACAGGTTAAAACTTGTCACATACTTTAAAAAATTTCTTCAGATTAATTCAGTTAAAACTGGTGTTAAATAGTGTTTGCAAATTTTTTTACATATTTGTATGAAATTTGTCGTTTACATGTGTCGTAGATATGTATTGAGTGAAGTGAATGTGGCTATATGTAGCACACAGGCCAATGGTTAGCTTTCTCCCAAACTTCCTCTTACATTCCAGTTGATGTTCAATATGATTTCTGGAATTATTTGTGAGGGCTTCACTTTTAATCTTCAAATACTTTTTTTTTTTTTTAAAGATAAGGGACCCCAGGATGCTTCCCTGAGGGACTCCACAACTATTAAAAGAAGCAGAACAGAAGGCCTGTTCAGTTTCTGGTTTATACATTTTTTCTTCTTCTGGTTATCATTAGTTTATATTTTCCTCAATTTTGTAAATTATTTATTGAATTTTCCAACATTGCTCAGAATACAGACTCAATAGCAAGTTAAACTCTTTCTTTCAGGCTAGTGTAAGAATTCTGTTTAATGTAGCCATTTTTAAAGCACTAATTTTTCCCGAAACCTTTTTATCTCCTGCAAAAAATGTACTCTTTCGCTTTATTTATCACTCTGAGGAAACATTGAGTGTTTGGAAAGAAGAGTGTCGAACAGACCAGAAACTTTTAAACTTCTACAACCTTGATAACAGATCCTCCTGAGAAACAAAAAGACCTGAACAGGGGCCATTTAACACACATGAGGTAGAACATCACCTGGTATTCCAGGTTCTCCAGGTTCTCCATCAACTCCAGGACCTCCCGGGACACCATCCTGTCCTGGGGGCCCTATGGTGAAGGGCCTGGCTGTCCTTGATCTCCTTTTGTTCCAGTTGAGCCTGGTGGCCCCTGGGGACCGGTGGACAGTGGGAGCCAGGCCTCAAGAGAAGAAGAGCATTCTTTTTAAAAGTTGGTTGTAATTGGTATACACAGTATATCATCTAGGTAACAACATCAGAGGTTTAGAATTACAATCTAAGTCTGTCAGATACGAAAACAAGAACTTTTAGTGTACACATTAGTCCAAACATGTTTGTAGCCATCATTCTTTAGACCAAAATTGGAGTGAACCTGTACAACTAAAATGACAAGTGTTTGCACGTCCAACTACTACTCCTTGAAGCAAGTGCATAGGAGATATAACTTTAGCTTGACTAGAGAAAATCCTGAACACTTCTCTTACACAGCATTACTACTTATTGGAAAGTAACACAATGTTTTGGTCTTTCTGAACCCTTTGATAAGTGTGTTAGCAAAGGGTCCAGAGGGACTGAAATGTTGTTTTATTCCAATGAATGGTGCCATTATCTGATCATTAGCGCTTGACTGTTGGGAATGTACCTGTCTCGCCCTGCAGTCCTGGAAACCCAATGAGTCCTAAAAGAGGACAAGAACAGAAGCTGGTTAGTTAAACAAGTTAAAAATAATTAAAATATGAATGCCTTTAACTCCTCATGTTGGTGTGTATCCAACCTTGTTGCCCAGGGAATCCTGGGGGTCCGAGAGATCCCGGTGCCCCAGGCTGGCCCTTCTGAAATCTGTAACTCCAGACTGTCTGATAAAAAAACAAAAAACAAAAGACATATTTTACATAAATACTGAAAGTGTTACATTGTTTTAAAACTGACAGACAGTATGGAGGACTAAAAGTGCCAAAATTAAATATATAAATATATAATTAATTAAATCATTAAATGTGCCATCAATTATTTAATATTGGAAACAAATCAACAAATATATAAATACATATATAATTATTTAATTAATTAATTAAATGCATGTGTTATTAAATAATTAAAAAATTATTTAAATGTGTCATTAATTATTTAAAATTGGTAATATATAAATAAATAAATAAATAATTTATGAAATACATAAATAATTAAATAAATGTTTAAATAATTATTTAAAATGTTCATTCATTCTATGTAAAAACACATAGAACACATGGCAGTTTCCCGCCAAACAAACAAACAAACATGGCAGCAATCACAGAGGATCTGCATGAGCTGGTAGCCCACACCGGACATGATGCTCTAGAACGGCAGTGGGTATGTCAAAAGCTGGGCGCCCTGCTCCGTGTGTGTGGCCCAGTACGGGAGAAGCGCTGGAGAACTTCTTCTAAGTTTGCAAACACTCTTCGGTCAATATCTTGGTCAGAGAGAGCGGAAATAACTCCAAGAACTTCAATAAATCCCTCTGCTTTGCTAGCCACATGTTCAGGGTCCGAAATTCCAGCATCAACATTCTCTGCCAGGTCTAAAATATCTGTTATCAACTCACGGGAGAGCTCATGCAGATCCTCTGTGATTGCTGCCATGTTTGTTTGTTTGTTTGTTTGTTTGGCGGGAAACCGCCTAGTCTGGCCACCCTGCAGACCAAAGCAATGGTTTGTGACTCGATCAGCGTTAATCCCGCCCACTGAGTTTAATGGGAGAGGATGACAGATAAAATTATTTCATGATGCACTGCTGGAGCAGGAAACATGAAATAATTAAAGAAATAGTGGAATGAATAGATGTGTTTTTACACAGAATGAATGAACATTTTAAATAATTATTTAAACATTTATTTAATTATTTATGTATTTCATAAATTATTTATTTATTTATATATTACCAATTTTAAATAATTAATGACACATTTAAATAATTATTTAATTATTTAATAACACATGAATTTAATTAATTAATTAATTAATTAATTATATCTTTATTTATATATTTGTTGATTTATTTCCAATATTAAATAATTGATGACACATTTATTGATTTAATTAATTATATATTTATATATTTCATTTTGGCACTTTTAGTCCTCCATAGTCAACAAGCCAACAGGATAAATCAGGATATTTATTTTTTCTGCCTGGGGTGTAAACCACAGTGTCATCATTGTAGAGAAGAGTAAATTATATGCCGCGAGGTAGCTTCTTGGTTACAATGCAGAAATCTCCTCATCATGCATTTTTTCTAAAAGGTGGGGATCCACTGTTTGCAATAAAGTCTGATTGTCTAGAAGCCTTTAATAAAATGTTCCTAATTGTGAGTTGGTTTATTCCCTCAGTAAAAATGTTCCTCATGCGTTTACGGTATCAATCTTTTGTTTCAAGGGTTCTTCCATACAGCATGATCATACATGATCATGATGATCCCATTTAGAGTCAAAGAGACCAGAAAGCAGGGGAGGAGTTAGGGCGGGGCTACCTGTGACTGACAAGACCCTTCAACAGTGACCTGAAATATGTCCATGGCTCAGCCTTCAGAGGAGCTAGCTGCAGTTTTTGCTTGTTTTTTCACCATATAAATCTCTTACTGGGGTGGGTTTTTTTGTTTACTTTTCCCACTTTTCCTGCCAGTCAAATAACATTTTGCTTCAGACTCACCTCTCCTGGAAGACCTGGGAAACCACGATCACCTGTCTCCCCCTAAAAAACATGCATTCAAAACAAATTATGACACAGCACTGAGTGTAATACTGCAGTAATAATTCATTTTTACCTCACATTGTACTCACCCTGGCTCCTTCAATACCTGGAGGGCCAAGGTACCCACGATCCCCTGGGTCTCCCTGCAGACACACACAGCCCAGAATCAGTGATCACAAGTCTTTACAACTTATGGTGATGTGGTTTAACCTGGGAGCTCTGGCAAAATCATGTTATCAACTAACGGTTCGCACTGATGTTTGCACTTTGTTGGTCTGTTAAACAATAAAAACAAAGTCTTGAGTGATGTGGAGGTTTTAGTTTAGGAACATGCTTTAGTTTTTATTTTGGTTCTGTTGTA